TTGCAAATCCCAGATTGTGCAAATGTATGTGGACTACCAAAGCACTTCCTTTGATTCAGAGCTGTCAGGCAGATGTGACTGCCACAAGGCCTTGCCATGATCCAGGAGGTCCCTCTGGCTCAAGCCATTCTATGACCTTGTATCCCACAGCAACCTTCGAAAGGAAACGGCCCAGCCACGTTTTAAGTACTTTGTAATAGCTACGCAGCTCTTTGTGCTCTTCTCAACACTTGCATTTTTAAAGCCTTACTCTAGCTCTAGCAGAACAACTGCAGCATTTTGTAAGGGAGATGAGTTCTAAGGATACGTGGTGCCTCGTGTATCCAGAGCACTAATAGCAGTATTGTAGACTAACTGTCACTACTTCATTGTACAAAAGTGAGTGGGTTAGAAAAAATAGTTCTCAGCTGTTCTGAGACTGTAAGTCTCTGCTCCTGTGTAATGAGCAATAGCAAGAGAGAGAATGGCCTCATGCTGTGGTGGGGGAGGGTGAGGTTGGACGTTAGGAAATACTTCTCTGAGAGAGTGCTCAGGTGCTGGGCGGGCTGCCCAGGGAGTGGTGGAGTCACCGTCGCTGGCCGTGTTCAAGAAATGCGTAGATGCTGTACTGAGGTTTAGTGGTGGTAGGTGGATGGTTGGACTGGGTGATCTTAGAGGTTTTCCAACCTTGGTGATTCTGCGATTCCGTGATTCTAAGACAGATGCAGAACACACTCCCTGCATTTGTGTACTCAAAGTGTCAGATATTTTGGGGAAATGATGGTTGGAGAATTCTGCTGGGCACAGGCAGGAGCTCTGATGCTAGGAAAGCCATGTTCCCAGGCTCAGGCTGTGCTTCTCCCTTTCCCACACCATCACCTGGCTTTCCTCTCTTAGCTGAATGGGTTTGAAAGCTGTAGCATGAAAAATGCTTTTACAAAATGATTGTACAAGAGGTGTCACAACACTGTATTGATGAGCACTAGGAGTCATTTTAGATTAGATCAGGCAAATATAACCCCATTTCTCTTAGCTGCAGACTGTCTGCATGTTTCCATGACTCTCTGCACACCCAGTGGATGGGACAGGGGGTGCTTAGGATTGCTTACAGGCCATAACCTTTAGGAAGTGGTTACAGCAGGACACAGAAGATGTAACTCACAAGTACTTCCTCAGTTTAACTGAGGAAAAACAGCCCTTTCAGAATCCAGAAGCAGACAGCACTTAAAAGTGCTTCTTTCCCTCAGGCCTTTCATACGACTTCAGTGAAAACGTACGCCTTAACGTAACTTCAAGGTTTGGGTAGGTGGAAAAATGTAAACACGCAGTGAAAGGGATGACATTGTCAGAAGTTTACAGTAAGGGAATTAAAAATCTCTCTCTGGGACTCAGGATGGGAAAATACTGACAATACTGCAGATAAGAAAATCTCGTCCCCAAAGCCGTGATGTGCTGAGTGCCAGCTGAGGCTCCCCTGGCTTCATGCAGCCTGCTTCCTCCTCGGTCTGCCTGGCAGATGGGTGGGAGATGGGGGGAGCTCAGACCTCGCCCCTTACTTCAGGCATTACAGCGATGTAATGCTCAGCTGTATTTTCCTGGCAGTGAAGGAAGTGCTGAAAGAAGGGACGCAGCGCTCGCCTCTGTAGCCATCTTCATTTCACTGGTACCCATTCACTTTAATTCTGTGAACGTGGCATTTGTAAAATTCTTGCACTTTAATTCTGTGAACGTGGCATGAACTTTCTTGTCCTGTACTTAAAGAGGCAGTGAAACAAGTGGAATACCAGGATATTATTTTTTTCCCCAAGTCCCAAAGCGTACACAGAGCTGACTTGAGAGCTCATGGGAGGTTTGCTGTGGGCTCTTTGCTCATGACATCTCACATCTCCAGCTTTGCTAAAGCTCTTTCTCACAGCATGGTTCAGAAAAGCTTTCACAATTACATAGAAAGCAGAACTGAAGGGACTTAACCAGCTCTTATCCCACTGTTTACCAATTGCTTGCATTTTCCTTTGGCTGTACCATAGCAGGTTCTTCATTTTAGAATACTGTGCCATTGACTCCTTCAGTTCAGAATACCCTGTTGTGAGTTTTTCAGATTCTTTTTGGTGCTTTAATAAACTCAGTCATTTTCTCGCAGCCTCATTAAGGAATCCCAGCAAGTGCTGCTCTGCCCTTGTTCACTACTCATTTGTTGTAGCAGCAGAATTTCTCCACTGTACCATTTCAGATCCTGAAAAAGCAGAACGATGAGACAGGGTCAGGCCTTCACATTTGGTTCTGTAGTAAAAGTGAACAAATGAAGTTCAGAAACAAAATTGTTGTGAAAGTAGAGAGTTATATCTTGTGAGTGAAATCCTTATCCAAAAGCAAAGCATACTGCTGACTGCTGCAGAAGCAGTGTATAGCAAATGAAGGCTGAATGTTCTGCTGTGAAAAGACTAATTCTGCCAACACTGACGTATGCATGTAAGGGTCAGCGGGGGGAAAAGATCAGAATCTGACTTTTGGAAAACATTAAAACAAACTGTCTACTAAGGCATTTTGGACATTGTTTTCTGTGTTGCAAGTCAACTGCCATAGCTTTCTATGCATAACCTCTTCTACAACGACACTGGAGACTTCATTAAGAAAACAGTGGAAGGAACACCCCTCCCAATGCATCCCAAAATGTCTTTGTGGGGAAACGCATCATTAAGGGACCGTAATGCGATGGCGAAAGTTAAAGGATGTAAGCACACACACGTGGTCATCCCTCTCCTCCTCGGGCCCCTGAGCTCAGGCACTGCAGTGCTCTGCTGACTGCACTCACTGCTGTCAGCCTGTTGCACCGCTGCAGGTTTACATTTTCACAACCAGTGAACAGATCTCCCATGCAACGTAAACGAAGGTTCTGTGTAACAATTGCTTAGCCTGACAGGTTTCAAAGTACCTCCTTCTCTCAACTCCTGGTAGAAATAAAATCCCTTCTTCCCGACTGCACATGGTTGGCCTGGCAGTCAAGAGCTGCCTGAGGTAGGATATCCAGATGGGATCTCTCAGCACACGAGCAGCACTCCTTTTTGCATCTTCTGCTATGAGGCATCCTCACCTGGGCAATATTCTGAATCGCCCGCTTCACCCTGTCCTCAAACCACCAACTGCGAGCTGCTGATGGCTTATTTATTTCCAGTCCCGAGGAACCAGCCATTCCTGGCACTGCTAAATACAGCACGTGGCTGAATACAGCTTTTCTTTCAAACCAGGGGAGAAGTCACTTTCCTTGTTTCAAGCACTAACTGCTTGCAGGGGCTGCCTGTGTGGGGAACAAGAAGGGGTGGATAAGGCTGCTCACCAGCTTCAAAAGCCGCCTTCCATTTTTCTGACACCTGAACACTGACACTTATCTACAGAGGAGGAAGAAGTGTAATTAAGCCCTGAAACAGGACTGAAGTGGCAAAGTGTCTGATGCTGATGATGCACAGTTAACTTCACAAGCAAAAATTGTTTCAACTGTTTCACATGGCTTCAGTCTATTCTGGTATACCAGGCTGACATTGTTGGCTCTCTCAAGTGCGAAACTGAACTGCTTGCTGTCCTTCTGCACGTTCCCTTTACGAGGAGTCAAAAACAAACAAAGCAAAAGAAAATGCAGCCACTGAATTAGAGTTAGCAGTACAGGTGCATCAAGCAGGAAGCAGCATTCTGCTCTTACTGCAAACAGTCTGATGCTGCCTTATTAAAGATTAAAAAAAGAAGATGGACATTGTTAAATCAATAGGAAAAAACATCTGAATATTGGGAAACAGACTGAGTACAGCCTACCGACCACCTCTGTGGTACAAAACTATGCTTTAGCTACCATGTCACCTACACAGAATTTCTGAAAATCACCGCATTAAGTGTGTGCAAAACCAGCTGTGCCATGTCCACATTACAGCAGGATCCTTGCCCACCCCTGCAGTCAGGCAGATGCCCTGAGCTGCACTGGGACCCACGGATGAACTGGCAGCAGCAGAGGTACGAGGGAGCCTTTGTGGCACAGCACAGTTCTCACAGTGCAGTTCTAGGAACTCGAGCTTTTAAAATCTCACAATGCCTAAGCTAATCCGGTCAGCACTTCCACAATAATTACAGAGGAAACACTGTGACTATGAGCACCAATAAAGAGGAAAACTTCAAAAGATTTTCCTTAGTGCTGCATTTCAGAGATAAAATGCTTTGCTTTAATGTACAGTTAAAGCGTCAGGGAAATCTGAAGCATGGTAGTTCTGTTCAATCCCAGCTCAACATATCTTGGCAATGTAAAACTCACTGCTGCCATCACTTCAGCAGAACTTTTTTTTCTTTTCTTTTTAAAACAGAGAAACATTACTCACCTACTCATAAAAAGCATGAGGCTCGTTAGGAGATGCCGCCTTGCAGCAGCCTGTACTCAGTTCCTGCAGGCAAATAGCTGTTACAAAGTGCTGCATCACAGAAGGCACACCCAGCCCTGCATGGGAAACTTGGAGTACAGTCAGTGCATCTGCCTTGCAGGTGGAGCTGCAGGCACTCACAGCTCACCGCCCTCATTTACTGCACGCTGCACATCTTAATGGCGAGAAACAGAGAAGTGCTGCCTCACATTAAGGGCAGAAGCACGACAGCACACAGCTATCACAGAGTGAAGCACTCCATTCCCATACAGAGCGTCACATTCTTAACAGGGCTCAATTCCCAGCGGCAGAACTTGAAGCACAAATTGGAAAGCACACCTGCAGCGCTTCAGCACGTCAAGGAGAGGAACCAGAATCTCCCAAAACAGTGAGGAAAAGGAACAGGAAGATTTTCAGCATGCACCACTTCTGTGCCTTTCTACAGAGGCCATCTGTACACCTGTTACCGAGGCCACGGCACCGCTGTCTTGAAAAGCTGGATGTTACAGCTATCAAGTACCTGTACAAGTATTAATGCCTTTGGGTATTACTGTTGGGAATCTGTATTTTAAATGAAGATTGAGATGCATTATTCACTTTACAGAAAAAAAATGCTAGCAAGAGTTTAAAAAACAGCCAGCTGGCTTTATTCCAAGCAAACCAATTAAGCTCATATTATTTAAAAAACTTTGTCAAACAAAGTCATTACGAGTTAAGGTCTTTGAATGCGTTTGGGTAGGCAGGATCCGTTTTCTCAGAGCCTAAGAACATCAGCTGAACATCACACACACATATATGAACAGACATGCCTCTGCATTTTGTGTACAGTTTAAAATGAAACACTGCTAACAACACGTGGAGCTATACAGACTATACAATTTGCACAGCCGAGTGTCATTTCAACCCCCAGTGCTATTATTTGCTAGAAACAAACCCGTACTTTGAACAAGACCTTGATGTGATCAAGTCCACCCCTCACTCAGGAGGCTGAAGCTGAACAATAAACTAAACCATCAAAAGACTTTATTGCAACTTGTACAAAAGGCATTAAAAAAACTAAAATACATGCTTCACCAAATATATTACATCATACACGTCAGCACGGTGTATTTGACGAACCCAGTTTATCTTCATCCACTTTTAATGGCATATTTAGTTGAAATGCAAAACTGACTACATTGGAAAACATTACTTTAAAATCCATTTCCAAGTGCATCAATTTCCTTAAAAAACACAATTGCTCTACCAAAAAAATATATATATTGTATTACCGTGTGAAATACAGAGCTCCCATTCAGAAAAACGTCCTCAGTATTCTGTGTAAGCATCGTGTCCATTTCATCTGATTCTCTCAAGCAGGCATGGTACCCTAGGCAGTGTGAGAGGCATCTTTCTGTCTGCTTAGCAGATGGATTCCCTTTTGAGGATGGTTAAATTGTTAGTTGCTTGAAACGAAGTTCAATTTCACAACTGACGATTTAAGTAGAGATGTCAAAACATGTGGGGACTGCCAACAATACAAGACATCACATCTACTGAAGCTCTTTTTGGCCTCATTGTAGTAATATCAGACACAGTAAGGCATGTCGATCACAGCTGTCACAAGCCACTCAATCCCTGCGTGGTGGGAAAACGTTCTGCCCCCCTTTGTATTACCTGACTTGAACTGTTTCACACAGCTTTAGTTACACATCACACAGAAGTGTGCACTGGTGTGGCTGAATGGGACGGAGATGAACCTCTGTCAGAGGAGGAGGACAGGGACCGTGTAGCTGCTTCCCGCTGCAGATCTTCAACCTTCTTCTGCAGCTCAGTGCGGATGGCGAGCAGCTCCTTAAGGTTCTGATGGATTGGAACCTGTGGGTGAAGAAAGAAAGGTTTACTCTGATCCATAATAACAAATTATCTTCTCAAGTAATGCTTCCACTGTGTCCCATGGTAACACCACGGATGCAGCAGCTATGAATTTCAGTGTGTCAGTATCTAGGGACAGTGGTTAGCCATCTGAAAGGGAACATTTTTGACAACTGTTCCTTCCTAGCACCACACACCGTTGGCAGGAAGCCTGTTCAAAACACTGTTTGCAAACCGAGTTGTCGGGATACTAAAAAACACTCTGGTAAGGGTATCCCTATCCCTTACCACCACCACTTTCAGTTGAGCTTAACAATGCCTTCACAGAGAACTACTTCCCATGCCCGCTGGGACAGAACTCGCTAAGCAGAACTCACAAAGCTGGCTCCATAGGGAGCATCTCATTACTGTTCTAACCAGGCACCTTTCCAGGAGCCTCACCCCTCCTGCACGTTGGTGAGAAAAGCACAGCAGCCACGTGGATTGTGCTTGTGCTGGATCTCCTAAGCCACACACCAATACTCCTTTTGTACACGTGGCTCACATGGGTTTCTGCCTCTGCTTCTGACAGTGGCATCAAGAACACTGGAGACTTTGGCATCTGCAGCAGAGTTTTGTGTGGTTGTCAGGTTTATCCAGTACATTAAAATCTGTTGCAGACAAAGGAAGACTCGAGTCATGTTGCTTTTTGACCAGCTGGATCTTTTTTCCTCAGACAAGCAGAGAGAGGCTTTCCCTCATTTCAAATGCCACAGAAAGACCAAAAAAGTTTGTCCGTTGCTTTCAATTTCTCTTATCCTCCATCATCTCTGAATTGTTTACAGCTTTTGGAAGGCACAATACGGGAAAACAAATTCATTGGGCTGACAAGGTAATCATGGGAAGACGTAGCATTGGGAAACTTGCAGACTGCTAGACATAGCAGGTAAGTGACACGTCAGGTTTCTGGAACACCTTCACCCAACAGCTGGGCTGGCATGCACACCCCAGCAGGACATTCTCATACAGTGTTATGTGAAGAAAATCACAGAGGGTTTCTCACTATCAACACACAACTGAGTCACAACTCACAAGCCTTCCTTCCTCCTGCAAGCCTTGCCTACACTGCCCACAAGTTCTTTAGCCAGAGAGGCCACAAGTCCAAAGATGACAGCCTCCTTCACTAAGCAAACACAAAGCACCTCCTGGAGAAAGGCAATCTCATTCTTCTAAGGTGCTCTACTAAAAAACAAATACACCTGAAAATGTGACAACACCGAGCCCAGCTGTGAAGCTTCTCAAGATGCTGTGAAATGCACTACAGAGAAGACAAATAAGGGGTCTGGATGACAACAGGGTCACCAGAGCTTTCCACTGCACAGTGCCCAGGCTCCCACAGAAGCATCTCCATACAGCTGCCTTTTGGGAACCAAAGCCACTGCAGAGCATGGCATGCTATGTACGTGCTCAGGGAGGGTCCAAGTGCCTGCACTGCTCGATCCTCCTGTGCTCCCCCACGACTTGATTCACATCTTCTGCCTCAGCTGAAGTGCTGCTCTCCCCAGGCTTACATCTCAAAGCGCGTGATCTTCAAGTAAGTTCTCTAAATAACAATAATGTTTTTAAAAGGCAGCACATATTTGAGTCACACAGGAAATGCACAGGCTGAAAAATTATGCACTCAAAAAACTAGAGTGTCAGGAAGAAGATTATTTTTCCACACTTAATTCAGCTTCTCTGTACAGCTATATAAAATTGTTGCTTAGATAACATTAAAATACTATTTTCCTTCTTGCGTTCCTGCTTTATTCAGTGCAGAGTTTGATGCTGCTCCACCAGAGAGCAGCTCTTCAATGTTCAGGGTTTTTTTTTTTTTTTTTTTTTTTTTTTTTCAGTTTCTGACCCCATCCTTTATTTATTCTTCTGAAATTAAAATGCCCTTTTCTCCTAATGGACTTTCCTGTCCTTTCATCTCGCAGTGGGAAACAAACAGTGCCCAGCAGGTCCACACACAACAGCATCCTTCGTGACACAGCCTAGGCTGCCCCAAAGAAAACTGTTCCACAGAATGCATCAGATGGGCTGTGCACAACATAATGTACCATCATAACTTCACATACAGCATCTCTACCAAGAGTCGAGCTGAATGCTGTCACTTTCTCTTTTTCAAGTGGAGAAGTCTAGCTCTGGTTAGACTCCATACAGATCGCTTTGACTGCATACAGATTTCATACAGAAACTTCTATTTTCTCAGATGACGTTCCAGAAGCAGAACAGAAAGCAGAGAGCTTCACCTTGCTGAGCATCACCACTACTCATTCCTGCTCCCCATCAGTCGTAGCTCACTCATGTTTGTATCAAATCCATCTCCTCCTTTCTAACTGCATTTACGCTCGGCGCTTAAGAACGGACTGAGATGGCTGCAGCCTCAGCCCTCCACATCACATGAATGTCTTTGAGGATACAATCAGCCACATTTCTGAAAGATTCTCCCTCTCAATTAAATCTCCTGCTTGCCCTAGAGATGGAGCATTTACAGAACAGCCCTTCGCCCCAACAAAAGGAAACCTGCCATACCAATATTTTCACATTTTTCTGAGCTGTACTCCCCTAAGAAACAAAGCCTTTGTGGATGAAGTTTACCAAGCAATTCAGGCAGACGCACATAGTTGATGACTCAGTACAAATCGTTTAAGTCTGGCAAAGCTGTAAGCAAGACAGAGTAGAGTCTGGAGGGGAAAAAAGGTCAGATTGAAATATGGTCATATTTTAGGGAGAGCACGTTAGATTCAAACACTGCAAAATATGTCCACATAAACATCACCATGCCATTTCATGTGCTAGTACAAACACAAATCTTTTTCTCAAGATTTCCAGAAAAAGATGTTGTTGCTTTGCATTTAACACAGCCTCACATGCACACTGCAACGCCATGTGGATGCACAGCCGCAGAACACGGTAAGATTTTACACACTAAAATTCAGATACGTATCTCAATGTCTTGGAATAACGTTTCAAATTCAGCGTAAAGAACCTTTCACACTTTCAGAGCATTTCTCAACAGCTAGCAATAACTTATTCATTAGCAATAGGGGTCCATGCTTGAATCACATATGCACGGGGTTAGAAAAGTGATACAGGCAGCCAAAGAATAGAAAATATACAAGTTGTGTACTGTGCTGCTTTTCAGTGGTTTTTTTTTGTTTGTTTGTTTTTAAATAAGGAGCTGCATATTCTCCCAGATATCTTTATGTCTGCTCCTGTAATTTCCCTTTCTTGAGAGAAAAAAAAGTTTACTTCCTTCCCACTGTTCCTCCAGTCTTACTCCCAAGCAAACCTGTTACTGCCGGCGTTTCCTCACCCCACCTTGTGCAAGTCCTTGTAGATAACTAACTCCCCACCTACAGCTTTGCCATCTCACACCATTCTATTTCCACACAGTTCCTCTTAAAGAAAGCTTTCTTCAGAAGGCAGCGGGTCCAAACATCTTCTCAATAATACCCTAATGGTCTGCAGGAACAAAGTTCATCTTTGCTAAAAGGGAGAGCAGCAGATTCTGCAAGACCAAGAAGCTCAGAGAAGGCTGCTTATTGAAAGGCCTCGTTATCACCTTATCTCTACAAGCACATCCTCACACAGCACACGTCCTGCCTCCATGACAAGCTTTTATTACAGTCTTGTTAAGAAATCACGTCGCCGATTTGACGGATGGATTTGTTGGCAGTCTGAGAGCAGATTCACTGCATCCTCTTTCATTGTGCCTCTCAAATTAGGAGAGGGAGCTCCAAAGATGACCCTGGGCCCAGTACCCAGGTTTTGTGCTTTACTCCGTGGTATCTATGCTAGGCTTTCAGAAAGGCACGCAACCATTCCTTTGCAGCCTGTCCCCTCAGTAATGCTGCTAGGCAACAGCAGGCCACAAGGGCTGGCACCCAACCATCTGAGTTCCACTCCAGGTAAAAGAGCTGTTTCTGCAGAGCAGACGTTGTGAAAAGCAACACTGCCATTCACATCTACCACAGCTAGAAAAATCAACCAGGCAGGGACAACGGAGTGGACTTCAACATCCCTAAGCAGCGGGGAGAAGGGATGGATCCTCAGCAAGTCTGACCTTGCTCCACACATTTACCAAAACGCCGGTTCTGCCAAAGTCAGAGAGGTTACCTGCAGCACCTCGGGAAGACTTCATGCTGTTAGGGTTTTTTTTTTTTAATTATTATTTACTGCTGTAATAATGACTCAGGAACTAAAAAGAACACGACTGAGACTTTATGTTGTCCCCTTCCCTAACTCATTATCAACTTAAATAATAAAAAAAGGAAAACAACTTATTTTCTTCAGCAAAGTTCTCAGCATTCCCTCACTTTTAGATAATTCACGTTCTTGCCCATTTCCCAGTTCCACTTTTCTGTACCAAGCCGTGACCAAGCTGACCCTGCTCCTCGCACGACCTGCTCACTTCTGCCTACCTTCTGCTCTTGCACTCCTTCCTTACCACTTAGTTCCTCTCCCTCCCCTTCCTCATCCAGGCCTGTACTGGAGGTGCCTTCTCCCTGGCATGAGCATTCTCTTTCCCTGCTAAGCCCACACGTGATTCTCTCTCTGCAAGTGATACTTGCAGTACGTGGCATCCTCCACCCAAGCCAATGAAAACCAGCAAAATGCTGCAAAACAGAGTGAGCCAAGCAGAGCCCTTGACTCAGGAAGAGCTGACTGTAGGTTCCCACTGACGTATGTTACTGGTATGAACTGGTTAAATGGGTGGATGTTTAATTTCCTCATTAGCTACAGTTTTATTGCTTGTTTCATACAAAACCAGATAGCTGCCTCTCCTATGTCACACAGATAAGGTGCCTACTGCCTATCGTGAGCTGAAGAATACTGAGACCAATACTGAGGAAACATCCTTTATTGCTTAAAATACTGCTGATACGAAACCATTTTTAATTGACCTGTGCACACTGAAAGCAGGCGTAGTGCAACTCTCAGAACACACCACTCTACACTTACAGTAAATTACTCTGCCAGACAAGGTCTTGAAGGAAAGTGATTTGTGCTTTTTACCTTTATTTTTAAAATAATTATAGTCACACAGAAGCTACAATTACACTACACAATATACATGCTACAACACAACAACTGCCTATAGACACGAGGCAGCTTTATTTCCTAGTAGTTCCAAACCTTTCTCTTCATAGAATTACACAGTTCACTTTCAGTATTGGTTCTCAGGTTTTCATCTCCAAGTAACCCTTCAAGATCATGAAGTGCTTCTGGATAACAAAATTTGTCAACAGAAGGAGAAATACAAAAGAAATTATAATAGCTACTCACTTACTGTACTGCTAAGTCTTAATTGGATATCTACTGCATATCACTGCACTAGCTCAAGGACAGACATTTACATAAAATTGTTCAATGTGAATGCATTTTGTCTTGTTCAGCGAGTATACTTTACCCATTTTAGCAACAGGGAAGAAAGGCTGCAGAGGAAAATGGTTACTTTAAATTCATTGCTTTTCTTGAGACTGTCAGTTTTTCCAAAAACCTACTCTGTGCACTGCACAGACAACAGCATCTTTCACTCAAGCTTTCAGTTCCTCTTCCTGACGAGATGGAATTCTGACTTTCTTTTAAAACCTACTTAACAGTATACTCACAGAAAAAGTCAATCTCAAACGATGAAAACAGCAGTTTTCTGTAATAATCAATACTTCCCTGCTTACTGTAAAGGTATGCTCCTGGGAAGCCAACCAAACTCCCAGGCCTCCTGGAAAAGCAATGACTAGTAAATAGAAATTACAAAGCCTGCCATGCAAGAACAGGAATGCACACTTGTCAAACTGTATAGATTTACAGGCACAGGAAACGTGACACGCTATGGACTGATGCCATTATTTGTTTAAACCTACACCTCATTTAGCTTTGACATCTGAAGGATTAGAGTGATGTTTTAAGGACCTGCTCTTCAGAACACGTTGGAAACTCCCCAGAATTAAGTTATTCATACCATGTTAATTTCTCCATCTCTGTGCGTAACCTGAGGCAGGACTCATTGCAAAATAGCAGGTTTTTTTCCCCTCAAATAACTACAGATTCTTTCAGAACATAGGAAAGGCAGTTAAGTCTGTATTTTACTCTTATCAATTGAATGTGGAGGGCTCTACCTGCTGATCCAAGTTATGCACACAAGTCAGCCTCGGCAAACCATGGCTTGGACACGCAGATAGTGAGAAATGATCAGCACCAAGAGACACTTGCCTCATCAGAAGAAACTCTGTAGTAAATGCTGTCTTGAAATCCAGTTCCCCGGGGGGCTCTCAGCTAACTGACCCACGCAGCACCTTCTCTTCCTGCCATCTCCTGCCTCACTCTTCCATGCAAAGACAACAGGCTCAGAACCATGGGCTGTGGGCCAGCAACGCACTTCCAGAGCCATAGGGCAGCTTTGTTTGTCCTGCCACCAAATTATCTTACAGATGTGTGCGAACTCTGCAAGTATTACAAGTGATGTCAACAACGTCAGCAGAGAGACCTGCAGGAAACATGTGTGAAGGCAGGTGAAACTGCTACAGACACTGTGGGGCCACACTGTACGTCCTGTCCCTAAGTAGCAACACAAAGCACTCCATAATTATGTCTTCCATTTCAATCTAAACTGATTTTCCAGTAACACTTCGCATGAGCTAAAGAGCAAATAAGAGGCTAACGTTGTGCTTACTGACAGGTTCAGCTGACGTTTAATCACTTGAATGCTTAACAAAACTGATTCTTTTGCAATTCCTACATAGCATAAAGAAGGCAGCTATCACTGTAACCTATCTGCACGCTTTTCAGATCATTTCTGAAAACTGTTATTCCTTTTTTTTTTGAAGCCAGCCTTTAAGTATGAACAGACCTCCCCTGGCAGCTGCAGGAAGCTCCAAGGACTGCCCACAGCAGACAGGCCTATGTCACCAGCCAACCTGAGTTTCCAGTGCTCATCTTCAGTTAAGGATGGAACTCCACATGCACAAAAAAAGAATGTATTTGAAAAACTGGGAAGCACTCCTAAAACATTCTCTCTAGCACAGAGGCCCCAATTCCAGGAGAACAGAACAGAACTTGAAGAAAAAACTGCAGGTGTAGAAAAACTAAAACAAAAAAATTAAAGCACGTTTAAGCTCCCTATTTCAAGGATTAAAATGCCATTTGCCAGAAGCCATACAAACAACCACACATGACTTAATGGGTGATGCAAATTGATGGACTAGAGTACAATCTTGTCCTCCCACCTTCCATAGCAAGACACAGCTTGAACTGAAAGGAACAGAACATTTACTCATGCACTGCACATAGGAATGGCAAAGAGCATACTAGCTTGCAATGCCACCCCTGCAGAACCTCCCTGAATTGCCCAGGCAGACAACTAACTGACAGCTAGCAGCCTGAACTTCTCAGACTGCAGTAAAGAGGTCTGAACAACCACATGGGAAAAGAAAGAGAAATAAACGGCACCAGTTGAAAAAATTCAAAAGCATCATACTATGTTATGGCCTGTAGAGTCACCTGTAAACCCAGCAATACACACCCACAGAGCACTCAACTCTGTGTACAAAGACTGAAAGAGCTTATCCTCCCCGTCACACAGAAATACTCACTTCTCCAACCCAAGGAAAGGGCAAAGAAGAAAAAAACAAAGGAAAAAAAAACCCCACTCATGCCTCTTCCCAGTCAATGAATTCAAATGCAACAGGACTAAAATCTAATTTTCTTGGGACAAGAAGTCAATAATGATGTAACACCTCCAAACTGAAACTGAGGAACACTTTATTTCACTTAGGAATTAGAATGACCTTGTTGAAGCCGAGTTTAGCATAAAAAGGAATCTGCAAAACCCACCCAGGTTGAACTTCAGATTTTCTAGGTGGCTCAGTGCTCAGAACCCTCTGCAGGGAGGCTGTGTGCCACCTCATTGCAGAGCACCTCCTGCAACACAGCCATAGTCCTAACCTGGGGCTCTTCATGCAAGTACCATCAGTAGTACCAATTAAGCCACCCGTACAACTCAGAAACGAGTATCACTCCATGTCATCTCTTTACCGAGCTGCTGACTGAGAGGCAGTGGGCACTGAGGCACACACGGCAGCAAGGCAGTTCTGGTATTTCCTTGTTATGTCCACTCTTCCCCACCACTTATCTCTTCTGCAGTTACTGACTTCCACGCGTGTTTACAAAGCCTGCTTTGCCCTCAGGACCTGCAGATCCCAATTAAATACAACTGACATTGCTGAAGGTCAATTCTACTAAAACGTGCGCAAACCACGCCAATGTTTTCCAGCAAACAGGTTCAGGGAAGGTGACGTTTTGCTAAAAAGCAGATGGCAATTTGACTTCAAAACTACAAAAACAAAAATAAAAGTTTCACATTGCTATAAATGGATACCTAACAAAGGATTACATCAAGAAAACAGAGCAAGTGTGGGCAACAGGGAAGTGCAAAGGAAAAACCTCAGTGAGGAAGCAAGCAACACATATTTCTCCAGTACCTCACAGGGTACTGCTCAGATGCTAGGATCTCTAACCGCGTGCTGTCCTTGAAACACATCTTTTCAAACAGGCTCTGACTTGTGGGTGTCTAATAAATCTGAACCTCGCATCTCTTGCTAACTGTGAGAAGATGAAAGCAGCTTTCAAACAGTCACTCAGTGCAGGTAATTTATCATTAAGTCGCTTGGGGATACCTTGAAATGTTACCTTAATAAAGAGACAGAGTAACATCCTCAGATACATTATGGTTGTGAAACAAACCTAATGTACACTCCCAGAATTCTGAAGATAAAACACAGCATTTTTCTGATGAGATTTAGAGATTTGTCTGAATAGGAGACATTACTTATAAGAACAAATACTGATGATTCAAGGAGTACATTTTCAGGAGCATTTAATCTTTAGCATGCCAGCTTGAAAACAGGAAGGTCAGTGGAAAACAAATACCTGTAGGAAAGCTTAGAGTCTGCAAATGAGTTGGTATGTAGATCAATTCCTTTCAGAAATCACTGCTGCATTTTATAACGTAATTGCCAAACAGCAAAACATAATGAAACTACACAAGAAGGTTAATGCAACAGAAGCATTAAAAGTGCTGTAAAATATTACAGTAATCTTCTGACAAGAAAGAGTGCTTATGTCACCTTTCACAAGTCAGTGAAGTGGTACCACAACTATATTCTACTGGTAGCCTTAATGAACACTGAACATTTTACACAGTTTTAACATACCTGATGCCTTGTTTTAGAAAAAACATCTTTTTCCCCACCACCAACAGTCAAAGAATACTTTTCTTGAATGAAATGGACCTTACAAAAACCAGTAATTTTATTTCTGTACTTTCAGGGAAACACAGAAGTGGAACCTCATACCTGAGGCCGCATCCTCGGGTTCCATCTGACATAGTAGTTGACCCACAGTTCCAAATGGTTCAGACTGGCAACAGGATACAGGACGTGGTTCTCATAGTTTACATAGAAAGGATTTGTGAATTCATCTAACTGACTGTTTATGTAGGACCACAGCGATACAGTCTTAGTGCTCAACTCCTGAATTAAAAAAATACAGAAAAATAAGTACATGGATTGCAAGGTGTTAAAATGTGAGGTCATTATCTAGACATCCCTATCTTTGTGAAGATTACCTGATATACTGCAATGCTGCCCTCTGAGAACACTTGCTGACCACTAAGTGTTAAAGCTTTATCAAAACTTTTGATATCCTGTTCCCTTCCAAGGTGAACTGAGAAGGGAGACTGAGGCATGATATTTCCAAAGACAATGAGTTCTGGTTGAGGAAGAGAAAGCTGTACTGGTCGTAACTTACTGCAGTGTCTGAGCTCCTTAGACCTACAGTTATGTGTACATGTGACCGCTTCAGAAAGATTCACAAACAAGTCAGCTTTGAAAAGAAAATCAGTGAGGAAAGAACGCGATTTGAAAGATCCAAAATAGCACCTGTGGAAAACAGCACCTTCCTTCTCCCACTCAAACTATCTGCTCCCAGTATCTATTGGCACTGTGATTTAAAATTACTAACTTTATTTGCACTTCTTAAAGTTCTATTATACTAAACATGATCAGCATAAACATGGTTAGATCAAGGTTTCAGAATGTGAGCCTCAGATTCATCTTGCAATTTTACATGTGTACAACGTAGTTAAGCATGTGCTTCTGCTACCTCTGTGTCTTAAACTGCATTTCTTTATTGAGAACTGCATACAACTGATTTACTGAGAACGCTGTTGGGAAGTTCTGCATTCGCTGAGAATGTTATTCAGCTCCACCTTGTGGAGTCTGCGTGCAACTTTCTCCTCTATGGAAGCAGAGACAAACCTGAAAAACAACAGGTCTAACTGCCAAGGAAGAGCTACTTGTTCTGACACAAACATGAAGTGCCACAAACAAAAAAAAGCCAGAAGTGTAGTTGGAATACTGAAAAAAGCTTTCTTTTTTCAAAAAAAGAAAAAAAACCACAACATGTTTTCCAAACTCAAAGCATTTCATGATGTTCTAACTCCATTCATTCTGGCATTTTAAACTTCCCCAGTCTCCAATCACAGGATCCACAAAATTATGTCCTGAAGTGACTAAAGCCATGCACAGGAGTTACTCTGAAAATAGCAAAGAAATGTTAATAGCACTCGATAATAACTACATAAAACTGAACACTGGCTAGAAATATGTGAGAGTCAATTTTTTAAAATCCTCAGAACTGCCAAGAGGTAACAGCCAAAGAAAAGTGGATGGGATCTCATTTAATAGAGCTTTCATTATGTATTCCATGGAATTACATCTGTAATGCCCTCAAAGACTATGCAGGAAATTTATCAAAAAACAGCTGAAGTGTTCTTAGGTCGTATGTCCGAAGCATTTCCTACAAAACCAACATATTAAATTGATTATTTACCTCTTTTAACCTTTCTTTTTCGCAGTTGCATAAGAAAGTCCCAAATAGGCAGCTATAAAGGTGATCCAGAATGGTGATCAAAAACAACTCGTTGAATTCAAAGGCTGCAGGAAACTTAAATTTAAAAAAAAGAAAGGTAAAATTACTCTAAGCTGTATTTTAAGCATCATGGTAAGGAAGCAACTAACAAATAAGAAATAACTAAAAGATTCAGGTAAGATTTTTTTTCCTGTTTAGTGATTCTATTCAGGAAAACTAAGAGATTTCTTTAACTTCCACTGCAATAATACACTTCACCTGCAAACTTCTTCATATCCTCAGAGACAAACCCTACATTCATTATGCAAGTGCACAAGGATGCAAGCACAGAAACATTAGCTAGTGTGAAACTGGTGACACAAAGCAACTCATTGTGAGGAGCCCTATCTAACAGCACATGCTTTATTCCTCTATGATATTTAAGAGCTTTAGTTGTGCTTCTAACATGCAGTGAGCTGGATAATAAACACAAATGTACATAAAATACACTGGATATATATTTTAAACATTTCTTACATTTTTTACCCAAATTATGTCATTTTTCTTCATCTCACGCCTCAACTTTAGCATCAGCTACATATAATAATCTTTTAATCTCTCTTCCTTCTATACCAGAAAGTAAATTCTGGATATCCAAATTGAAAGAAGAGTTATTCCTGTGACACCACTAAACATTATATTCACAAGCAGAGGTTACCTGACATACTCTAGAACAAACATGGAAAATCTGAAAGCACAGTTTACTTAGAATGCATCTTAATCCGTAGTGCTTCAAAAGTCAGGAAGAAATCAGTACAGAAGTGCACGGGCTGCTATCTATTCAGATGGAAAACATCCTTCAATCATTTATGATAGGACTGCATATGGCAACTGCTTCACATGTCAAAATAACTTTTTCTGCAAATGACAAAGGTCTCAAGCACAGACATGGAATGATGAACATTTAAGAGAACAAACAAACAAATTCAGACAACTCAAAGACAATTTTATAAGCATTTCTCCCCTTGCCATGAGAACGAGCATCTTAGGAGACTGATTTTTAGGACAAACAAAAACATTTCTTTATTTCCACTAAAGGAGTGAATATTTTCAGAAGTCTAGAATGCAATATTCACCACCAAGAATGTCCTCCTCTATGAAAACTATCTAGCCAGAAATTCAGACGTGAAGAAGGCAGCAGCCTGGGTTCAGTCACGTGCCACTGAGCAACACCACTGCCTTGGCATCAGTTTGAGAGCTACTTCTAAAAGAAAAGTATAACTAGGAGGAATAACCTAGCAGTCGGGACTGGGGATGGACTAGCTGATCCAGAAACTCCTCTTCAGTGCCACCCGTGATTTGCAACATGATATTCATGTTGAAAGGAAGGAGTTGAATAACGCACAACAACTGTGCTTGTATTTAAACCAGAAAGATTGATGTTTTAAGCAGTATTATTTTAAAACAAGATTGTTCTTGCAGTGTTTGACTTAAATCCTTCTTCTAAGGCTTCTCAAGCTAAGAGATACCAACTTTCAACGGAGTAAGGAAACCACCAATATGGTGACTTACAGAATAAACAGAGCCTTCTTTCTGACCCTGCTATGGATAAGGTACAGCTCAGCAGTGTGCAGTGCTCACAGCAGAGCTTCCTGTACAAACCAGCAGTTTGCTTTTTTTTTTTTTTTTTTTAAATAAAACATACAGGATGTTAAATAAGATGCAATTTAAAATGATCAAATTAAAATGATTCTCTTCTTCAGTCGCGTGCAGAAGTTATCACTAATACCCTCTCTTTCAAGATATGCTGCTCTAACTCTTCTACAGTACAACAACATTAACAACACAGCTATCATTTAAACAAAACCTAGGAGTGTAACCTGCTAAGCAGATCTGCTGGACATAGCCAGCACCGCTCGGATCTCAATCTCCCACACCCAGAGCAGCGAGCACATACGTAACCCAAAAGTCACTGGCAAACGATCAAAACGACGTTTGGAAGTAACTTTGAAGACAAGGCCTCTCCTAGAGGAGCTCTCCTTAACCAAAAGCACTTAATGAGCCTCGTCACATTAGTGCTCTGCCATGGCTCTGCCTGCACTAATCAGAGGCCGCCGACACGGCCGCTATTCCGACCCAGCGAAGCATATTCCGAATTCCATACATCAGTGGCTGCGCTCCAACTAATTGATTAATAAGTGATAGCACTTATTGAAACTCTGTCTTTGAATACAAGAGTTGCACTGTTGGAGCTGATGTTTCAAGACTGCAGAGCTTCTGTTACTGCCGCTGAAAAATCACTGACCTAAAAATTCTTTCCTCTGTAGTTCCAAGCCCATTAGCGTCTGTTTGAAGATTCAGGTGGAAAAATTCCCCAAATGAAAATTTACTTCTTGTCAAATCCACTAATTGAGAGAGAACATATGGGTCATTAAAATCTCCCACTTGATGCTTCTGGAAGGTTTGTTGTTCATTTTTCTCTTTTTATAAAGGAGGTACTTAAGAATTCCGTTGCATAAAACGTCTGATGATGCCAAGTGATACCTGACTCAAAGAGATGCAAGACAAACCTGCTTTTCCATTTTGTGATCAATAAACCAGTTCTGTACCACGGCTTTTAAACAAAGTTTAAATATTTTGCTGAACATGCTTATGACTGTGGAATTGGGCTGAACCAGGTTGACCGGGCAGGACACCATCAAGTGTATTACTGAAATGAATGCAAGAAGAACCTCCAGAAGCCAGTGGCATCTGATAACGAACACAATGCACCTTTTTAATCAACCTGAGATGTACCTTTCTTTTACGTGGATACCATGCATTAAAGGTAGGAAGGTAATTGAGCTGCATTACTACCTGCCAATCTTGCAGGTGTTTTTCATTTTCATCAGGTAACACAGCCATTCCAACTTGAAATCATCTTTTTTTTTTTTTTTTTAATCTGCTATCAATGTATTTCTCTCAAAACTCCCTAATAATGTATTAGTTGTCATGAAGATTGTAAAAATCTGGGAAAATATTAGGCTGTGAAAGACTGAGTTCCATTGTCTGAAGCTATCCAGAGGTCTGTATCCAAGCCCAAGTCAGAGATTCTCGTGCTATGTTAAGCTGAATGTTTTAAGAACGAAATACTCAGAGCACAAAAGTAAATTTGCTTGCTTAGAGCCCATGCCCAAGCATGAACCTGAACACACATCCCCTCCCAATCACTGACACTTATTAGAGCTTTGGAACATGTCACATATGTTTGCCATGGATTCTGAAGCAAGAAACTTAACACCATGTCATAAGCAAGCAAGCTACACGAGGATGAAATAGAATCCTGGTTTTCCCAGGTGTATGTCAAGGCAATTGCAATCTTCACACATGTTCTCTAGGTGCTGAAGTCAACTAAAAAACAAGTGGCACAAAACTTCCAAAGAATGTGCTTTCTATTTTGTTATGCTGTAACTTCAATGACTTTCCAGTGTCACTGTTGTCTATGAACTTCCCAACAGTTTCTGGATCCAGGTTTTGAACAGATGTGGTATTGGCTAAGTGTTCCATAGCTTCCCCATTATTATTTTATCTCAACAAGAGGCAACCGAACTGTAAATAGCAAGAAACGGAGGCAGAAAGGGAGAATACAAAAACAGAGGTGATGATCTTAATTACGCATCTCCCCAGAAGATTTCTGCTCTTACCAGGTGTTTAGAAGTCTCTCTTTTTGCAATTGTTATTAGCCTTTCTCTGAGAGAGGGGCAGAATTCCTCACTTATTTTTCTCCAGCCTTAATAAACAGCACATTAATGCTGAAATACAGACACAGAGAATGTCTTCAAGCAACTCTGAACAAGGGCCCAGTACTGCAGCGGGAAGCTTTCCTAACGCACGTCAAATACACCCTTTGGAAAGCACAGTGCACCATTTTCAAGGACCACGTTCACAAGAGCAACACTGAGGTGTTGTGGGAGTGCTCGCATTGTGTGGAAGCAGACACTTATCTTCCTTGCCTCAAAACAATTCACATGCTATGCAAACTTCAATACATCTGTCTTTTACCGTAACACTAGTAAGACCTCAGAAATATACTCCTAAACACCTTACCTGCTTTGTCATTTGCCAAACACAGTCAATGAACTGAAGGAAAATGGGAGATCTGTCTGCATCGGCATGATCGTCACCTCCGTGTCCTACTCGCTGAAAGACAGAACAAATTTTCATTTCTGCCCAGTGTATTCACGGTGTTGTTTAAAGATGATACATTACAAAGATGAACAAGACAAACAAATTTTCCATAATGCCAACCTATGTTTTTCAACTGCTAAAAATACTCCCCAGTGTTTGCTTATGGACATGCTGCTGCTGTTCAGAGCTCTCCCAGTCGTTTCCTCCATCTTCCAAAGTGAAGCTGTTTATGGGATCAAACTGATAGGTATTCAGTGCAACTGAATCAATGATGAAACTTCCATATCCACTTGCCTAAGTATGTATCATGTCTCCTGAAACACTCTCAGATGCCAGAAGTGTCACTACATTATGCTTTTAAAAAAAAATTACAATCGAGATATTGTGCCCTAATTCCCTGCTAGCCCTTGAGTCGAATGAATACTGCAGGAACTGAAGAGCAAAGTGATGAGAAAACATACTACTCCAAATTAAAGAGCTGAAGGTGACAAATAACATATGAACTCTTTCACCTTACCATTGCAAATCGGTGTCCAAAGCTTATCCATTCCTTTTCTATAAGAATTTCAAAGCCCTTGATAGTTCTGTAATAGCTGTCCAGCATAAGCATAGCAAGTGCAGTGAGCTGTGCTGTTCGATCCCAGCCATCGCTGCAATGTACCACCACAGAAGTTTTACCAGATTCAATTTTATCTGCAATTCTTACTGCTCCGGCAAGAAGCATCTTAAAGAAATAAAAACAAGCATATTAAATGAAAACCAAAACTCCACCGAAAAGCATGATTTTATATTTTTAAACATCACACATTTGAAATCCACAGATTAATTACACAGTTATCTGGACAACACTGCGTTAAATCAGAGACTTTCAAACAGCAAGGCACATACACCTGGAGGGACAAAAGCCAGCTCCCAAGCACAGGCACGCTGCTGTCCAGCAGAGAGTTCTCCATTATCAGTAGCACACGGCAAGAGAAGTTAGCAACCCCTTTCACTAAATGAAAATTGAAATTCTTTATCATTAGGAATATAGACACAAACCCTGTAATCTACCCCAAAGACAAAAGGTTCAATGTGATCAAAGTTCATCTTCACAGGAAAGAATCACTCCTGTGCTCCTCAGCTTTCAGTTCTTAACTGCTAGCACTGAAGGAAGGGACAAACCACTGAGCTGATCTCAATCAAAACACAGCCCAAACAAAACCAGGGACCGCTGGCTGGGAGCCTGCCCTGATCTGCTGGTGCATGAAGCACACACAGCATGAGACCCACAAGCCATGAATAAGGCCATGAATAACCTGGGCTCAGAAGCACGCTGGGGGAACAAAGGAAGAGATGGCAGAGAACTGAAATTCACTTGTGTGAACTTTGTGTTTCTGTCTCCCACACAAATCCTTCCCTTGGTTGTCTGCTGCTGCTCTCCTGTTGTTTTTTCCTTTTTTTTTTCCCTCTAACATACTTGAATAATCTCTCTCCTATGAAGGTTTGTCCCTAAAACACAGCCTATCATGGCACTGATAAATATGTGGGGAAGAGAAGCACCAGAATAGGACCCCAGAAAAATTCTCTGCATTCCAATGTGAGAAAACAGAAAATTGCTAAACATTTGCATTCTTCCCCTCCTGAGCACGTGAAACATCTTCTGGGAAGAAGGAAAACTAAGTTCAATGCACAAGTGTACAAGGCCAGTCTTCAAAGCAATTGCAAGACCACGCTACACAGACAATCATCTTTTAAGGGAAAGGATGCCAGGTTGGAAATATCACGAAGCACTACAAAAGCTTGTACAAGAGAACAGAGCTTGTAAACTGAACTAGTTAATTGCCATTTACTTCAATCATGAAGCTATGGAGATGTTAAAAGAGTTTGGTCTTCAACATAAGCAGGAAAATTATCTATAAAATATGCAGGTATGCAAGAGTTTGCTCTGTTATCCTTATATTACATAGGTGGTAAAGCTGTGGATCTGTTAATTGTTACAAGTCAAATGAATCAGGAAGAGAAGGTAAGCACCCACACCCACTTACTGCAGCAATGGCAGCTTTCAGGAAATCAGGTTGCAATTTATGCTGCCCACACGGTAACATGAAGTACTGTATAAGGGGAAAGGCATGAAGACTGCCTCATGTTTACCAAATCTCCTAAGTAATGTAAGTTTCAAACTGCTAATGTCATCTGTGAAATGATGGTATCAAGGTTCATCTCTGATGCCATGCAAGCCCAGACACCCCACTGAAATCAGTACCAATGAAAGGTGATCAGTGCATAAAAATCCTCTTTTAAAACTTGATGACCACATTTAAAGCCAGGCTGATTATTAAAAAAAATCTTTCCAGATACTCAAGATTCCCAAATCCCCTTGAAATAGTCAACTTCAAGCCAACAGTGGTCCGAAAAGAACATAAATTTGTTTAAATCTTGTACAATAATGTAAGCATTTGCTCCCTCTACTGGTTCTCCTGCAGCAGTTAGCAAGTACTAGCTACTGAATAACTGATTAATTCAAAGCACGTTTGCCATGAGTGACATTTGAGGCAACTGCTAAATGAGACAAATTCCACTCCACCCATATTCATCATAAACAGAGGAGTGAGTATGATAATGAAATCATCTATTCTAAAAGCATTTCAGAGGTTAATGAATCAGACTGTAGAACTGTGTGATTTATTTTAGTATTACATTAACTAATAGAGCAGATTATAGCTCAGTGCAACACAGACTGTGAACAGCCCAGGAAAATGTAGGTGTTCAGCACATGAACACCAACACTACACTGAAGGAGGGAAGTATGAGCAAAGACTGCTGCTTCTGTGTTTGAATTACTACCAAGAGGACTTCACTGTAATCTGAAGTTCCCAGGGCAGTTTTCCAAGAAGAAGGGATAACCCTGGACTGCTCACAAACATTTTCTCTCAAGAAAATAAAACCCTGCCCAACACCAAATATGATACTGAGCCACAAGGAGTTAACTCACTACCTACCAATACACAGAGCCAGTTACTATGGAATGGATCAACTTCAGTTCAAATGCTAGGCTTTAAGTGACTCTTCAAAAAAATTATACTGATCAAAGATTGGAGACACTGTTCTAATAACATTTTCAGAAATGCAAGTAAATAACACCATTTAAAAACAATTTTTTCACACTTTTACCCTTATATATTCCAGCCAATGCGTGGAGTCCACGTTTGATAACCACCGCGTCTCATCGATAGTAGGGTAAACTATTTCTTTCAGCTTACGCAGGGATTCCCTCATTACGTGTATGTTATGAATTTCCAGAAAGACCAGCTCTGCGTTTGGGTAGGCACTTTCACTCTCATATCCTCCGCCTTTTGCCTGTCATACAAAAAGTAAAAGCAGACAAAGAAAAGAACACGTACAGGACTTCAGTATAAGGCTGAAAGAGTTGCTTCAGTTAGGTCTTCTCTGGAGAGAAAGGATTATTCTAGCACTATTAAAAACACCTTCTTGCTTTTGCTTTCTCTGAGAAGTGCTAGGAGTATATTTTTTAGACTGAAGAAATCCTGCTTTGTAGTGGGCTACATTTGCTAATACAGCTATGCAGTTTCCTCTTGTTATCACTGAAACCTTCGTCCTTCTGCTGGTGTCACTGCATCATTTCTCAGGAACATGCTCACGCTGCCTTCAACTCCAACATACTCCAAACCACTTACCTCCCTTCCCATGGCTCTAAATAAAGATCCCTGTTTAAATTTCTTTTCACATCGAATTCTCTGTACCTTCATATCTCTTGCTCAATCTTCAGCAATCTCTGGAATAAAGACTGAACCACCACTACTGTTTATGGTACCAACCTACCTTGTTTGTATCTGCAACACTATTTTGTCTGGCATCAAAGATGATAAGTTTATGTGATTGAGCATTGGCATCCATAATTGTCTGCAAGTATTTTTCATCCTCTTTACAGTGCTTATCATTCGGGCCTACCAATGGCTGGCTGCACCGTGTTATTGTTGCTTGGCTCTCCGGATGAATCCAGGATAACACCTAGGATAAAGCAAAACTCTTTTAGCTTACTGTACTAATGTAACAGCAGCGAGCCAGAGTGCAATTAGACAACCACTGCCTACATGGCAAGGAAGATTCCTATGGGACATTAAGAAAAATTTCTTTACTGTGACAGTGGTGAAACACCAGAACAGGTTTTCACTGGGAGTCTACAGACCTGTACAGCACTTTGCAAAGCAGACCCACAGCATGAACACTGTCACCCCCTCACATATTTAAAAAGGACTTTTTCACTACCTGCAAAATATATTTATTCTCAAGAAAACTGCCATGGCTGCAACACATTCCATACCAAATCAGAACACAAGTTAATCAACAAATTAGCTTCAAATAATACTCCAGCCTAGAAGCATTAACTCCAAACAAAAACAGCACATTAAACAGCACAATAACCAAGCAAACTAAGACTCACATTTCAACTGCTTTCTTCAGCTCTAAACTCATGAATCCTAATTCTTCATTCTTTGCTCCCTTTTTAGAAAGGAAGTGGGCCAACTAATGTTAAATAAAAGCACTGAGGAACTCTGATCATTTCTTAGAAGCTAGACAATACACAGAGCACTTCCATTTCCTTGTGCAAGTTTCACTTACTGGCACTCTGCCTTTTGCTCGAAATGCTGCCACTTTTGAGAGGTCATCATCTTTTACACTGGTTGGCACAACAAGAACAGAAGGATATGTATCACAAAGCTCATAGGTGCTGTTAATTTTTGATATTTTCCAACTCTCATTGGGCAAGCCCTGTAAGAAAACAAAACATTTTTTCTATTTTTCAGGCTAGGTCTGTACTTACTTGTGCTCTGTAAGGAAAATTTCGACGTGCTACACTTAAAAAGAAAAGCATGTCTACATTTTTATCTAATAAGAGCTATAAATTTTAGGCCCTCAGATTTTATCATAAGTCAATACAATGAAAGACTTTCCTTTTTATTATCTTTAAAACTGCTATGCAAAACAACCATTTCAATAGACATTTCAATTTCAGGTATAAGGTGATCATACAATGAAATATTAATGTTGCAACTGGGAAACCAGATTTACAGTGACAAAGTAAGGTTACTCCTTTGTTTAATCCTGCTTACTCACAAGCAAATCTTCACAGAGCCTGCATTTTCATAAAACATCACTTGGAAAACGTAGATCTAGCAATGCATGTTAACACAGATCAGTGTGCTCTTTCTCTTTAGCAGGTGGTCAGCACTGTCAAAGTCAGGCCACTTGCTTTTATGATCTTAACATGAGACTGAGATAGTCTCTAGAGGCAGCAAAGATGAAAACTCTCCTATACAACTTACCTGTCTTTTGTATTCTGACATTGGATCGTATACTTTCCAACCATTGGCAGCAAACTTTTCTTTATAGCTGAATGCAAAAAGAGGCTAAAAATAACAAAACAGAGCTATAAGTTACTATCTGATGGGCTGTAAGTACAATAAGCTCCAAAACACACAATCCTATTTCAAATGTCACATTTCTAGAACTCTTTTGACAGCAGGTACAAACTTTACTGTCAAGAATGGACATTTTGCTAGAAAGTTAAAGACAGTTATTCCAGCACATGTCACATCATCAATAAAATCAAGAAAGAAAAGAGAATTAAAGTTACTTGCCTGTAATCATACAACAGACCAATGGCAAAGCCAGGATGAGAAAACTTTTCCTACTTTCTAACCAGTTCTTTATTCACACAAGCAAACAGAAGTACATTCAGCAGATAGCTAATAATTAAGCTAATGGTATCTTTTTTCCAAAAAGAACTTTCATACTGAACTATCTACTGCAGAAAACAAGACTCCCTATATTCTTAATCACATTATTAGGAAAATCTAAAGAGTTTTTGTACAAATCTGTGTAGCTTGCCTGCTCTGTAACCAATGTTATAAATCAATACCCAGCACTTCCAGTTTTCCCACCTACACGTTTCAGAGAACAGAGCAGACAGCTTCCTGTGCACCTTAAGACGTACCAGTCCATTAGAAACAGGGAACGCACGCGTTACAAGGTTTTCAAAAATCTCCAGTCTGTTCTGTTCCTCCTGTTTATAGGCAAGCCGCAAGTTCCGCATATCCTGTCAAAAATAAGTCATATTACTTTACCCTATGGTAAATTTAAAAAGGTCACAAAATTATAAGTAACGCTCACTGACATCATTTGACCTGTGTCAGAATGGAGTTTCATAACTGGATGACTACGGTTGTTGCGTTCTCTAGCGACTCCAATGGCAACAGCCATTTTTCCTTTGAATTCACTCTCAGGACAAAAGGCAGAAGTGCTGAACACTGCACAGTATCACAAGAGGAACTGAAATGTCTTATCTAAATGAAGCCAAGTTCAAATACAGGGAACTGAGCAGGCAGAAAGAGCACATGTATGCTGATTCCTCTCACAAGAAAATGAAATGAAAATACTTTTGAAATGAACATATCTGTACCATGTCATACCTTGCATACTATTTCTATACCACATGAGTTGTCTCCATGACTTTGTACTCCAATTTTTTCAACTCTACTTATCACTCCGAGAGGAACATCAACAACAAAAGGTGGATCCTGAAAGACACATGGAGCAAGTGAATTGTGTTACATTTGGTTTGGAACACAGTCTTGTATCATTCACGTGTTTCATTAGGATCAACTACAATTCCTGTTCAATAGATCACTTAAAACAAATTCATCACTTTGAAATCTACTTCAGAAACACTTCCACCCAAAAGAAAATGCAGATAGACAGTGGACTCTTACCCTTTCAACACTTTTGATATACATCCTGAAGTCCGTCACTGTCAGCGTACCACTAACTGCTCCCATAAATGGACAGATGTACATAACGTCTTTAGCTGGAAAACAGACCAATTGAAGCTTTGTCTTACTATGACAGGCATTTACTTCATAAAAATCTATTTCTGTTGAAGAACAGCAAGATTTCTGTAATTCCACAATAAAGTAAGATTCAGATACTCGAAGCATAAGAAAGAGGAAAGCCTGCTCTACAAACGTTACCAGGACTAGAAGAACCTTGCTGTTCTCAACAAGGAAAAGAACTCCTCACTGCTTCCCAGCACCTCAGTGTTGTGTGTGTGGGGGGGGGCTGGCAGGTAACAAAGTCTGGCATCATGCTGCTATGCTGAGCTGCAGGCAGCTCTGGTCCCTGCCCTGCGCTGTAAAGTACCCCCACTCACCTCACAGCCTGCAAATGGTAGTTATTGAGAAGTATGAGACTTTACCTGAAAGACTGCACACAGTTTCCTAGGTAAGTACTGTACTACTAACAGAGCTTGCCATCATCAGCCAAAGGGAAATAAATCTGACATACAGCTGGAAATGAAGCTTTATGGAACTTTCTGTTCTTTGTTATCACAATTTAAAACTTTCAACCTATGAAGTATTCTCAGCAGCTCCAAGCAGAAACACAACCTGTGTACCCAGTTTGGAACAAAGTCACCCTTGAAACAGAATGATATGTCTAAATGGACAAAGTCTTCTTCTTGAACTGATTACTTTCATGTTTACATTTGGATTTAAAAAACAAAGAAAAGAGATCCACACCGCGTCTCCTAATCCAAAACGGCAAGACATTAAAAGAACAAAACTCAAAGGGAAACAATATTCTATTTTTAAGTAAACAAACCAGTGGATTAATAGTATTCAGTGTGGTACTTGGTAGTGTGCTTACCAATAACTTTGATTGATTCGCCAGGAAAAAGTGGAGCCTCTTCCATCTGTGCCAGTTTGTTTCCATCTCGCAGCGCCTGGCAGAAACCCAAAACTGTGAGTAAATCTCTCTTTCCATCTGCACTGCATCGATATATTTTGATGCAAAGTGCTTTAACTACTAGATTACTGGAACACAAATAGTGCATCTTTTTTCACAAGGCACAATTGTATTAAACAGTACCGTATTAAGAGAGGCAATGTGTGCTGCTATAAATATTACACAGACATACGTTAGCAATACATTAGTAACACAGCATTTATGCAGCAATTAGTTTCACGTGCTGGCTACATATAGCACAGGAAAATATGAACAATAGCAGCCCAAATTTGCAGCTAGCAATTTGTTAGTCTTTTGCTAAAAGCAGCTATTATTTCCTAATAGCAGTCAGAAACACCCTGACGTGCTCTTTTATGGAAGAGACCCACTAAGGGAGTTGTGGACCAGAAAGTCAGATTAAGAAGTAAAAGTGAAATACAGAAGAACAATTAGTGATTTTAAAATAAGGGCTAGTTTACAGATTTATACAGTTCACAGGTAAGTGGCTTCATTGCTGAATGACACAAGATTGATCCTCTGGGTCCTTTGTTGGTAGCTAAGATTTACTACATTTTAATTAACAACACAGTGGTTTGCGGGACTCGAAGGGCTGCGTGAGAAAAGGAGCTCTTTCTTGTCAACATGATGAAACATCAAGGTTTAATTTTGTACATCTTGAGTGAGAATAAATATAATGGTAGCTTTGGCCTGCTTCCAAACTAAGCCAAAAAACTTCTGCAAGCCTGTATTAGCTAACTTCCAAAAACATTTAAATTGATGTTGGTTTTTTTATTTGCTATTACTACCAGAGTTTTACGTGTGGCACCCAATCACAGGGACAACGACACGCAGACAAGGAGCTGACACCAACTCAGAGGTCAGCGTGCTGTCAGACAGGGCCTTAGGTGCAATGCTGGACCACATGCCATCAGATGAAGACCCTCCCTAGCACACACCAGACACACTGGTACTTTCTACAAATCCTCTGAAAACAAGAAATACGAGGTCTCAATGTACTGCACCAGCACACAGTACCTGGCTACACAGTTAATAATGAAAGATGAGTAAAACTTGCCACCTGATCAGCTTCTGCTTCAGAATGATAGCCATTGTGTCCATCCTGAATCTCCTGCATTGCATGAGGCAGCAGTAGGGCAAGAGAGAAGTAACAGGAAAAATCATGCACACAACAGGTGAAAGGACAGAATCTTTTCTAGTTTCCCACTTTTTTCTTTCCTTAAAGAGACAGCATATACTTGAACCCCAGCTTTGATCTCCAGAGCTCCCCACTCCTGACACAAAACCCTTTCCACACGACACATTCCAAGCTCCTGGGGCCACCCATTTACTGTTACTTGGCACAACAGAATTCAGAGTTCACCCTCTTTTTCACTTAAGAAACCGGACTGGTACTCAAAAAAGTAAAGTATGTACTGTCTTTTTAAGACGAGCAACTTCACAGTGAAGAAAATGAAATCAAGGTATGCCACGTGCTTATAAATAGAATTTATAAGGACAAAAGTCATGCAGCCTTCCGAGGAAAAAATAGTTCAAATAGAATTATTCAGTCAATGTTAGGAATACGACACTGTGTAAGCCATGTTTTCATTAACTTTCAGTTTCATGGTTTCACATTTATCCCCCAACTTCTGCACTGCTCTGAAGGTGACTCAGTAACTTTAAAGTTACAATTAGTCCTCAGAACAAAATAATGCAAACGAGTCACTTTTGTACATGTATGTACATATATTTCGCATCATAACGGCAGCAAAGCCTGAACACTACTTAGATCTCTCTAACAAACATCACGTCCCCCCGCGCTCCAGGCAGCAGCACAGATGTTACTGGGTCAAATGAAGGAATTGCTCTGACACGTTCTGCCAGAACTGCTCTTCCATGTCCTTTCAGCATCAACTAAGACAAGCTGTGTCTGTGACATCCCAATATTCCCAGCCCACGTGCAAACTCCTCACTTGTAAGACTGGAAATCCAGACTCAGTCTAAAGTCATGGAAGAAAAATCGAATTTTTCTTTTTACCAAAATATCTTCTGATAATCTGGACACTACAAGTGCTTAAAATGTCTTCACTAGTAAAAAAAAAACTTTGTAAGAGAAGAATTCCTGGCATCTAAGCATCCACTGAATTCTGGTAAATGGAAATTGCTTACATTCAACCGTACAAACCTTGCCTCTGAAACTGAAGTAGGCACAGGGATCCCTGAGAGAAAACTAGGAAAAGGACCAACAAAACACACCAAGAGACTGTCAAGCAGTGAAGGACAGAGAAGCACAGCAGACCACTCTAGGATCAAAGCCCTTACAAAGGGCTACGAAAAACCAATGGAAAACAGTCCATTTTTGTTACTCATCCCACACCAATTATTTCAAGAGCCTTCATTAAAAAAAAAAAAAAAAAATCAACTTGTGAGCGTTGACTAAACACATCATTTTCAACATGTAAACAAGGAATAAGGCATCATTCAGACTTCATCTGTTGGTACGAGACCAAACAAGAGCTCTTTGTCTGAATAAAAGCACAGACACATCTCATGAACAATGTCAGAACGCGGTCCAGATCTTCCCTCACTCTATACACGCTACTGAGAGGGACAGGAAAACAATGAAGAATAGGCAAGACCTACAAAATCGTCATTAAAAAGATGCAGGTCGGTGCACCCGCATCCAACTTCCAACCCAACCTCCCACTCTACAACAGGACTGAGGCACTGAGGTAGCACACGTACAAAAGCAAGTGTGAATTGAATCTTCCTTAAACAGGCTGGACAGGGATGCAACGCTTTCATCCACTAACACTCTGTAATGCAGACACTACCCCAGAGATGCTCATACAGCACTCAGCAGTCAGAAGCACGTAAGCCTCAGCTGCAAGCATCCGTTTTGTCACAATTAATGCGATAAAAATAAAGTTAGTGTGGCACGTTTGTAACGTAATTTCAATACGCTGCTTTCCCACACGTTGATTTTTATTGCTCGTGGAAGCACAGTAACGGATATGAAGCATTTCAGTGGCAAAGAAGCTGCTGCACTGCACAGAAACACGGCCTGAGTGATTCATAAAAACCATCAACGAAGTAAAGAGCACTCGACACACCAGGATGTCACACAGCACAAAGGACAAACAGGCAGGAGGCCGTTTTACTACTTGCCACAGGTAACCTTACCCGAATATCAGGCCTCCTGTACACCTGTTAGTTAAAATATAACATGTTATCCAACAAAAGCACAGCTTTGATTCATCAAAGATATCACAGTGTTCGACAGATTTTCAAGAGAACTCTACTTCCAAGCATATTCATTACAGTTGAATTTAAAAGCAAAACAAAAGAGTCCTATGTACATATAGCAGCTCCAACTTTGCAGAATTATTTTGCTCTGAAAGTATGCCAGCCACTTCCATTGAGTGCTGAAACAAACGCCAAATTCCTATGAAAAATTTACTCCTAATCTCTCTTCTAGTCAGTGCTACTGCGACAAGAGAAGAGCGAGCCCAGTAATCCTCCAAGGTGCAAATAACAAGCCTGCAGTAACAATGACAAAATACAATCCACACATCTTTTGGATGCTAACGGCAAAACAGCTGCAGCTCTTCATTAGAAATCACAGAATGGCCCGGGTTGGAAGGGACTTCAAGGATGATGAAGCTCCAACCCCCCAGCCACAGGCAGGGCCACCAACCTCCCCATTTCACAGCAGCCCAGGCTGCCCAGGGCCCCATCCAACCTGGCCTTGAACACCTCCAGGGATGGACGGGGCATCACAGCCTCTCTGGGCAGCTGTTCCAGCACCTCACCACTCTCACAGCTCATTACTGAAGGCAGCTGCACCCAGCTGCTGCTACCTGTGTGACTTCCAAGCCAGGCAGAGCCCCACACCACCCTGCAGCTCCCAACTCACTCAGCACTCACCAGGTGGGACTGTTTCTTACTGTTGAACCAATGTCACCCACCTTTTTCCTAAAGATGAGGACTCTGTGCTCGTTTCTTAACACTGAATGTACAGCACCAGTTTTTCTGGATCAATGCTACCCACAGAGGTGATAGCAGCGTTGACAAAGCACCTGCAGCACCACTGAACCTCCACAAATACTAAACACAAAGAAAAGCCTTTCCTAACGCACGGACAAGATTCAGGTCCTGAATTTAAACAAAGAAATTCTAGGACAAAAAATTATAGGGGATTATGCACGAATAAGAGAGCTCAAATCACAGCAATGCAATAATGGCAAATACTTTTTTCTTTTTTTTTTTCCCTCCCACAGAAATTCTAAATACCAGAAGGCTTATTATTTTTTGTTCCTTTGTTTCAAGAAACAGTGATAAACACATCTAATCAGGCCTCAAAAGACTCAGTCCACTTAAGGTGAATTTGTAACAGAGAATGAAGCTACTCAGAATACAAAAGCACTCCTCACTCCAGAGGAATGCCATATAACTCAGAGATAAACTGAGCACCAAGCTTACACATTTGCACTTTACTACAAAGTCCTTCATCTGCATGGCACAGACAACTCTGCCAGCTGTAATGCAGTGTCCCATGGTGTTCTGCCCAAGATTTTACCCTTGACCTGAGAGCTGCCCATCCCTCATAAGGCTAAGGAGCTGACAGTGCCAGTGACACCAAGCCCTCTGAAGGGAGTTTTTAAACAGACTGTGGTCAGAAATATCGTGGAATTCATCTTCAAGAGTGGGCAGATTCTCATCTGCAGTCACAGAATCTAAAATACACTGGTGCTGGACAGCAAACTTTTAAGCACTGAGTTTATTAGCAAATGACTTCAAATCTAGTTAAAAACAAGAACAGTAACATTTTCATCTGGTCATTTTACACCGATATAAAATTCTTCTAAATCTAGGACAAAAGCAAGAAGAACACTCTGCACCAGATAGCAGCAGCCTGTCTTTGTTCACACAGGTGACTTGTCACGTTCTCAAACAAGCTCAATTAACTGCCTCCATACTGGAAACAGCAAATGAGCACAAAAGAACAGGTGTAAAAAGCGTAACAGAACCCATCAGATAAGGTATGCTCTGCAATCATTAATGACAAAAAAAACTGCCAGGAAGGAACAAAAAAAGGTGCTGTTTAGTTTCACATTAATTTCTCTCTCTTTGGTCAAATCCAATGAAAAATGATAAAATATTATCATGTTCTTCAAACAGTAATGAAGACATATGCACTTATTTATTTCTGGTGAAATCCAGTGAGATCAGTTTGGTACTCCAAATAACACAAAGCAATTTCAGCCTACAAATTAATTCACTTTAGCTGTTTTTGTTGTTTTGTTTAATGTAGTAACCAAAAAGAAAGCCAAGTCATTCTTTGCGTTTCATTCAGAACAGCTTTTTGTTCTCCTGCACACTTCAATGCCACTGCTCCAACTATGGAGGAAGACATAGAACAGATTCAAAAGATTCCTATGCACAAACGAGACACTTCTAGTTGTGAAACATTCCGAGATCACTGAAGCACTCACCACCCAGCAAGGGCTTTCCTGACCACCCACCCTTATCCAGAACAAACGAACGCTGCTCAGGGCTCACTTACCCGGTAGTCTCTGGACACACCTTCCGAAGGGACAGCCCCAGAGATCTGACTGGAAATGGTTGCAGCTATCAGCTGTTTGCACCATTCAACGTGCGATCCCGTAGGGCTACAGAAACAGAACATTTCATGCTGTTTAACAATTACTCTGTTACAATCAAAAAGGTCAGCACAGTGGCAAGGCAGTACAGGTGTGGAACAGCAAAGGACCGGGGCAGGTAAAATGGTGCTACAAAGGAAAAGTGCTCACTCAAAAGTGCTCACCCATCTCTGAAGATCTAGGCTCACAGGACAGACTCCCCAAAGGAAGAATCTCCAACCAGAGAACCTTCTCCCAAGTGAGGTGCAGCCAGGCTCCACCCCTTCCTACTGCACAGCTGAACTGCCTTCAACTGTGCTCCCAGGGCTGACCAGGTCCTCTCCCCAGGTGCTCCATCAGTGCTTCAGGCCGTGACTCAACACTTATCATACACATTCAAAATGTATATTGAGAATAGCAAGGCACAGCAATACAAAACAAGGCCATACATGAGTGTTAACACTATACAAATCAGGTTTCTATGTGGGCAGAACGCAATTATTTCAGCAAACAAAGGAGGTAAAAGAATGTCACTGGATGTTATCAGAGATGTAAAGCTGTCAGAGGGCCCAAAGCGTGCATATGGGCCTCGGCCTTATACAAACGTTGGCTTCCTTACCCTAGTACTGTTCTTTTTCCAACATTCATGCTTTTTTTTCTCAGAGCCATCCATGGAATGAATTGGATAACTAACAGGAAACTCCTCATACTCACCTTTACTGCTATTTCCCGATTGTTCAGTAAATCCTACTGAAAATTAAACCACTCTATGCTAGCATTTAAAACTGCAGACTACTGCAGTGTTGAATTCTATACTAACAGTGGACGTAGAAAATACATGTTTCCTAAAGGGCAGTTTCTAATTTAGCCACATTTTTATATATTCATATAATAATCTCCAAATAATGTTAAAGACTGGCTTTCCCACTCTCAGATGTCTACAAGAACCCTACAGACAATGCATCTGAACAGTAGAACTGCACTGAACCTGAGATGATGCATTTGGAGAGCAGCTGCTGGAACCAGCGTGGCTTACAAGTTTCAGAATGCCAGCAGCAGGGAGCAGCTGCCAGCCATGGAGAGGTGCAGCAGCACTGCCCCAAAGCGGGCCTGCCCCACAGGAAGCCGGGGAGGCTGGGGAACCTGCATGCCACTGGAGGCTCAGCTCGTACAGGAGATAATTGCCACTCCTCCACACAGGTTCGCTAGGCACTTGTGCAGATACAAAGCTCATTTCCAAGTCAAACGTAAACCGAAATTTTAAATTCATTTTTGAAATTAATTCACAATCTGAGCATTGTGTGACACAGAAGCAACCACTTTATACACACACCCAGCAGAACACACACACAACTGGGATGTCTGGCAGGTGGGATGACAGCACAAGATTACAAACCCCTGCACAGCCAGAGGCCTTTCCTCACATATCTGCTAGGATAGGCAGGTGCATATAGCCAGAAATTAAAGATCTTTAAGAGCTTTTCTGACAAATCTTAGGAGCTGAGCTTCTTTATTTCACCTTCCTTCCCACCTCTTGATTTCTGCTATACCTCTTTAGGGTTAGCCTAAGCTTGTTTCCAAAGGAGCATTTACTTGTTACTTCAGAAGATTTCTCAATGGCAGATCTGTGGCAGGCCCCGCTACGTCCGTGCTGGCAGAGCAGGTGTGCAGGTGCCCGGCTCTGGTGCGGCACAGCCCGGCAGTGCGGCTCAGTGCTGTGGGCAGAGCAGTGCCAGGTCACATCGTGCCTCACTGCGGTACGGCCATAGCCACACTGAGACTGGTCCAGAGCTCAACAAGGGGGAGAGGAAAATCACAGAATGGCCCAGGTTGGAAGGGACCTCAAGGATCACAAATCTCCAACCCCCCGCCACAGGCAGGGCCACCAACATCCACATTTCATAGCAGCCCAGGCTGCCCAGGGCCCCATCCAACCTGGCTTTGAGCACCTCCAGGGATGGACGGGGCATCCACAGCCCCTCTGGGCAGATAAAAAGTTCAGATAAGAAACATGAAAGCAAGGAATAACGGATGTGTACTTGAGTGACAGACTTCTTAGCAAGGATTTCCAGCTTTCCTAGAACGTCGAGGTTTCTCCTAAAAGAAAAGCGACGGAACACAGAGATGGAACCTCGGCACAATTCCTAACTTTTCTCTCCCTCATCCCGGGGAATTCCATTTAGTCCCGCTCTGTTTCAGCCGAGCTCTGCGCCTGCCCGCCCACCGTGAAACAACGGCTGCCAAAGGAAAACCGCCTCAGGAAAGTTCCGCAGGTTCCCCAAATCCCAGCCAAAATCCCGCAGGCAGCCCCAGCCTTTCCGGCCCGATGACGCTGATCGCGACCAGCACCCAGCCGCGGGCACGGAACTTTCAGCGGGCCGGCGCGCGGAGGATGCGTTTGTTAGCGCGGAGACACGAACGTGAAGGAGCAGACTGGAAGCGCCGTCCGAGCGCCGGTCCCAGGCCCGGCGGCCGGAGGAGGGCCGGGAGGCCGCGGCCCCGCGCACCGCATCGCACGGCACGGCAGGCCGCGGTGCCGGGGCTCGGAGTCGCAGCGCGCCGCCCGCCCGCTGCTCACCTGTCCAGCGTCTCGCCGCTGGCCTGCCGCGATGCGGCCCCCGCCGCCGCCCCAGCCCGCGCGGCCCG